TGGATAAGGGAGTATTTCCAGATTATGCAGCTTTTAGATGCCTGGCTGCATTCAAGGGGGAAAGCGTGGAGAAGCTCGAGCGTTTTAAGGGATTGAATAGTATAGACCAATGTTCATAAATAATTTTTGACAGCAGCTGAATGAAAATTCAGGTTTGAGGTCTTGCATGGAAATCAAGAAGAGAAAAAAAGAGAAAACCCCTGATAATTACATCACTACAGGAAGAATGAAATCTCAAGAGCCACTATTTGTGGTTAAAACTGAGGGAAGCAGCAGGTAGGTGAAAGAGATAAAGCAGAAAGAGAAAATGTATATATAGGTCCTTAGAAACCCAGGGGACAAACAGAAACAGAGCAATTTGAAGAACTGGATAGAAGATGCTCTTAAGTTCAGCCCATCTATATCTGATGTTGCAGAGATGCAGGCACTGGAGATAGTTTACTGATCTTCCCCCAAGGCCAAGACTTCCTATAGCATGGGGATCTCTGAGGCTAAAAACAAAGCTTCCTTATCTGAAACTTAGAAAAAAAAAGTCAACATGAGGGGCACCTGGAAAGCAGCCCAGCTTTGAGAGTGTGAGGAATTAAGAACAATCCTTTCTCAGGAAGGTTAGGAAAGGCCCTGTATTTGAGAGCCTCTTCTCTCAGTCACATCTGTGTGGACTGACTGGGCAGCTGAGTCTGCTACAAACACCTTGGTGGGGGACTAGACTGTAGGGTCCATAAGAGCAAAGACTGGATCTGTTTTCTTACCAATGTGTACACCCAGTGGCTTCCATAGTATATAGACACTTATGTAAATTTTTTGTGTTTTTCATAGAAAAAATTCTAGAAATATTTTAATAATGATTACCTCTGGATGTCAAGATTATCAAAGTATGTGTGCAATTACCTTTACTTTCATTGTTTTTAATGCTGTTCTTTACCTAATGAAGGTCCCCTCCCATCCCATACTACATTTATCAGAAGAGTAATAAAGTGATTTAAAAGCAAAAACAAATTACTCTCTTACTGTGGCCAGATAGTTTGTATTCTTGTTCCAGCCCTGCCTAGGAAAACTTTAGGAAGTTAATTACCCACTATTAGACATGGGCCCTCTTATTTAGAAAATATAAATACTAATATTAATATGTGACCTTTCAATTTTACAAGGCAGATGTGTGAATGAAATGGGGTAATGGAAAAGCATTTTTTCAAATTGCAAAATACTAGATATATATACTGAGCCATATTGAAATAGGTAGTGGGATGAGGAGGAAAATATAGACGAAAGGCAGGACAAGAAGGAGAAGGGGAAGATGACTTTGTATTACTGAGAAAAAAGAAAATGAGTGTGTATAGTGGTAATATTAGGAGACATCATTGTTAGAGCAATTTTCTTACAGGAACTGTAAATGTTTATATTACGAATTAAGGAACTTGTAGTATTAAATTTAAGACATTTTTATTCCTGCCATCAAGTTATGCAAAGATGGCATGTAAGCCACCTTAAGAATTAGGTGTGGTCTCTGGCCCTTGCGTCTTTATGTAAAGGAATGCAGGAAGAGAAAATATACTCCCTCACCTACATTCTTCACCTTCACCCCATACACTGAGATTATGTGAGTGCTGAATATGGGGTAGTGGTTGAAGCAATAAATATTCTTTAATTCCTTAAGTAAAAACTGTTTTAAAATGAAAATAAAAATAAAAACAACAGTATAGCTAACCAGAACAACTTTTTTCTAAATCCATAACATCCTGTGTCCTCTCGATCAAGTCAGTTTCTCTTACTGACCTTCAGTGTCCCCCCTTGTTATATAAGGGTTGTCAACTACATCATCCATTAAGTCCCTTTAAAAAATAAAGTTCTAAGAGTCTCAGATTGCAGTGCTATATAGTTATAGTCTCCCTTTTCTACACATCTGTAAAGTAGGGAATCTGAGCTAAATGACTCTCTTTCTAGTGACAACGAACATTTGATTAGGCTGCCTTGATAAATCTTGCTCACTCCTGGCTGGTTTGGCTGACACGTTGCAATGTAATGCCATTACCCTATTTTACCCTCGAAAAGTTATTTAAACTTTCTGATTTTTAGTTTCTTCATTGTAATCTGGGAACTAAAAAAACCTACTTTGGAGGGTCAGTGGAGTTACATAAGATACTTTACATAGAATGAGTAGAGCAATGCCCAGCACAGTATACGTGTAGTCAAAATCAGGTAGTATCGTTGACCTGACGAGCTTCGAATTTTTTCCTAAATTTTTCTTGAAGCTTAGCAGAAGTTGTAGAAAGACTGTCATTGAAAGATAGAGTTTCAATAACAATAAAAAACAAATGATCCAATCAAAAAATGGGCAGAGGACCTGAACAGACACTCTCCCTAGAGGACATACAAATGGCCAACAAATATATGAAAAGATTCTCAACATCGCTAGCTATTAGCGAAATGCAAATCAAAACCACAATGAGATACCATCACACACCTGTTAGAATAGCTATAATCAACAGGACAAGTAATAACAAATGCTGGAGAGGATGCGGAGAAAAAGGAATCCTCATACACTGTTGGTAGGACTGCAAATTGGTACGGCCACTATGGAAAACAGTATCGAGTTTCCTCAGAAAACTAAGGATTGATCTATCATATGATTCAGCAATCCTTCTACTGGGTTTTTTCCCCAAGAACTTGAAAACCCATATCCAAAAAGATATTTGCACACTGATGTTCATAGCAGCCTTCTTCGCAGTGGCCTAGACATGGAAGCAATCGAAGTGTCCTATAATAGATGACTGGCTAAAGAAGCTGTGGTACATGTATACAATGGAATATTACTCAGCCATAAGAAGAGAAGAAATACTGCAATTTGTGACAACATGGATGGACCTCATGTTAAGTGAAATAAGCCAGACAAAAAGTTGAAAATCACATGATATCACTTATATGTGGGATATAAACCTAAAAAGCAACAAATGAACAGGACAGAGACTCATGAACATGGACTAGTGGTTACCAGAGGGCAAGGAGTGGGGGAGGAGTGTAGACTAGTGGTTACCAAGGGCAAGGAGTGGGGGAGGAGGAGGTAGGTAGACAGTTAAAAGGGGTCAAAAATAGGGGAACAGGGAGAAGATGAAGTGGGTAAAGGAGATCAAATATATGGTAGTTGAAGAAAACTGGACTTTGGGTGGTAAACCCACAATAGAATATACAGATGTCAAATTATAACGTATACCTGAAAATTATATAATTGTATTAACCAGTGTTACCCCAACTAAACTTAACTTAAAAAAAATGAGAAAAAAAAGAGAGAATTTGACTCAGAGACCTATTTCTTGAGGTAAAATTCTATCTACAGAATCATATCCCACACAATCTAAAGAACGCCGTGTTCTTCCACTAAAATCTTAAAGTGGCTAAAAGAAAATGTTATTCTTGAGCCTAGATTTGACTCTGTTGGAGCACACACAAGCTAAATGTACATTAAAACTACAACCTAAATAAAATAAACCCAAATTAATGTATTGTTTTCTTACAAAAGGATAAATAGAGCATTTTATTAACACTTTTTTTGCAGCAACAAAATGATAGTTCACATCTTTTCATTCAATACAACAAAAGCTATGTCACATTACATCACTGAGACACAAAGCAAAAGTTATTTTCATTTTCTTAAGGTCAAGAATGGTTTGCATTTTTAAAACAAACTTTATGTTTTGTATTTGCAGTAGCAGAGCCTCCAGTCACTAGCACAATACAATGAACAGATCAAATATCCAGAATAGACAATTAAATACACTAATAATATTTCGAGTTGAATTGGGAAATGCATTATTATCATTTTAGAACATTATAAAGAGGTCTGACGTTAACTTTTTAAAAGGAAAAAAAAATCATTCCAACCACCCAAAAAGCTACTACAAGCAAAAAAAAGAGAATATACAGACAGAAAATTTTATGCATTGCACTTATTGCTTGGTACACAAATGTTGCAATTCCTGTTGAGTTATATTAAGAAATGACAAGCAAAGTGCCTCTGCCCCATCTAAAATTCAATGACTCTATGAAAGTAGAAATCACAGTCCCCTAACCCAACATTAGGTGTATGCTATTTTTGTTTTTTGTTTTTTTTGTGAAGGTTGTTTATTATGTTTCTGTGTATGGATATGTATAAGATATACAGATATATAGAGATATAATTTTAATATAATTTATTGGCCTATATATTTAAGACAAATATATTTTAAATGGGACTTTAAATAATAAAATTGTCTACTTACAATCTCTCTATTAAATTTATCTTTTTATATTATATATAGCTCTGTGGCACAAGTTTCATATAGTATTTAATTATTAAGGAAGAAGAATATCTAAACCATTTCTATTTCTTTTGTTGTTAATATTGCATTTGCAGGGTTATATTTCCATAGTAAATTTCTTGTTAGATTCTTTATGGCGATTGCATCTTTTTTAATGCAAGTTACAACCTGTACAAAGTTGTAATAAAAAATACATTAAAGTCTATTTATCTTTTTATAATTTTTTTTGCAAAAAAGTTATGTGATATGCTACATGAAAAGTCAGATTTTATTGAAATATGAAGTGTTATATACTGTTAGGTAAATGAATGGAAGAACATGAAGCATACCCCTCACTTTACAAGTTTTCTTTTACAGAGATAAGTGGTTGTGCCCAAGCATTTCATATAAAACACTGCAAGATATTCCTTTTGATATCCAACAAAATATTCCACATTATGTAATAACAACAATTATTTAGTATGCCTTGCTAGTTGCTAGCCCACAATATTCTTCTCTAATTGAGAGATATCCCATCTTCATGATTTACACTCAATAAACGTTGTCACCATCTGATACAGCCAACATGACAACTTTACTTTTTTTTAAACAGGACTTCTGCATGAGATCTTGCAATACAGTGTAACAAATATATAAGTGCATTTTACATGGTCAAGTAGCTTTGGTTTCCTAACCTTTATATGGTGAAATGTGCCAACTGTTTTAGTTGTGCTTTATTAAACGGTGATGAGTTTTAGCTCATATGAATCCAATGAGTAATTACTTGCTTCTACATTTTTTACCAGTCAACCTTTAAATCATAAACACAAGAATAGATGACCTGGATGGAAATGAATGATTTTCACAACTTCTACAGATTGCACTTGATGGTAACTTCATGAGTTTGTTCTGATTTCATTTTTATAGCAAGACTTGCCTGGTTGATATGTTTACATGTTTACATCACATATTTTTAAAATTTTTGTGCAATCACAATTAATTTAATCACAAACACTAAAATCCAGCCAATAGCTTTGTTATGAATAATCATCTCGGTCCTTGTAGGTGTATGAGTCATGTACTTCTTCTTGTACAAATTCCTCTTTCTTTTCCCAGCCATTAGGCCAACCTCCATTGGCCTGTGTCGTCGCACCATAAGACTTGGTGGTACTGTAATTTATATAATTTTGAGTAATGTCCCCTGTTTCTTCATCAAGTTCATCTTCATGGATAAATCCACATTTTTCTTCACTTGTTTCCTCAGGGTCTGCCCAGGGTTGCTTCTCTCCTGAGGCAAATATTGCATAAAATATAACTCCGCCATAATGGACTAGGGCAGCGATCAGGAAGACATACTGCCACTCTTCACGTGACTGTAGTGACAAAAGTGGCACTGTGAGAACAAACTCCCCATGTTAGAAAAGCCTAACATCTTCTTTAAATGCTTCACCTTCAAGCTTTTCATAAAATTCTATCTTCAGGAGAAATTCTATTATGATTATATAAAACAAATACTGAGACAGAAACTTTTTATAATACTATAACTTTCATCATTAAAAAAATTTTAAATCTAATTTTGTAAAATAAAACTACCTATAAAATATTCATAATTTCTTTTAATTTCTATTGATTTACTTATTTTTTTCTCCCATTCCTTTTGTTTACTTCCTTCTGGTAAACCATGATTTTGAAGCTCTACATATAAGGACAAATAGCTGGTAATTATATTATTCCACTGATAACTGCAGAAGACTCTGAATTGAGGTTTGCAAATAAAACTCAGAAGATTTTTGTTTTCCTATTCTAATAATACTATAGAAGTGAAAGGTTATTTTTTTACTACATCAAAGATATCAGAAATATTAAAAGGTATTCAGAAGCATATTGCTTATTGGTTGAGAAAAAGGGCTCACTCAGAGTCCTTAGAGATTTTCTTCTGAGCCTCGATTATCTCCCTTATTCAGAGGTATGGTAACTGAACCAGAAAAGAAATGCCAAAGTGAATATATTAACCCCTTCTCCAACCATGAGAGAGAATCTTTTACAATTGAACACCTATTTTGTTCCATCTTACCTTATTCTTGGTCATTGCACCAACAATGATAGGGCAAACCATTCCTGACAATGTTCCAACACCATTCGAAATACCCATTAAGATACTGGCATATCTTGGAGCGATATCCAGATGGTTAACATTGAAACCTGAAATATATACATAAGCTTTGACTAAGAATCCTAAATCTCTTAGAAGTATCTATAGAATATTTTCTATACTCCTTAAAAGACAATAAGTACATAGTATGTGCTCAATAACTACTTTTGTATAATCCAGCTCATGGGAATGAAATGAAGTATAATTTATTATCTAATATACAATATGTGATACTCCACAGAGAAGAGATATATTCTCTTAAAAAAATAAAAAAGGAAGAGTAAGCCAAGAGAAAGTAAGTAGTAAAAAACCTAAATAATGATTTCTAAATGGTTTATTATTTTTATTTTATTTCCTAGTGGAAATATGTTGAGTGAACTTTCTCAACAGTTGAAATATTAAAGAGAAAAGTAGAATATAGAAAGATTAATAGATGATAGATGATAGATAGATAGTTCTAGATAAATCATCTTTTATCACTAGCCAAAATCAGATGTCATAAGTACAAATTTAAAAAATGTATATTACCAGATATAGCAAATCCACTGAATCCCACTGCAAGTACCAAGAATGAGATAGCTACCCCTCTAGTATGAGAATAGCCGACGACCAGAAGCAGTGTTGCTTCCATGCCAAAACCTTCAGAAACAAACACATGACAATACTTCAGAAATTTGCGTAAAATTTTCCAATGAGCCCAAAGTGCTAAAAATGCAAAGACTAATTGACCTAGCAAACCACTTTAGGGGATCCATCTTAAAAATAAAAACATTAATAATCCCTACACAGAGATTACTAAAGCCTCCCTTGTTTTTTAATAAAAACATCAAAAAACGACCTTAAGTTTTAATGTTAGGAAGGGGTCAAGTTTGTTATGCAGTTATTTAAAACTAGGAGTTATGAAAATCTGAAGATGGAAAAATGATTATAAATGAACAATGAAGGCACAGATTTAACTGGATATTTAATATGTATAGAAAAAGTTACTCATGTAGATCAAAACTTTGTGAACTAAAAACATATCCTTAACATCGCTTATGCACTTACCACCACAATTCATAATCTTTCTTACTGTAGTAGTGGAAAGAATTTGCTTGCTTCTTAGAAAATCTGCAATCTGCCCTCCGATAGGCACAATAATAGTCATTACTAAGTGTGGCACAGCAGACAGCATGCCAACCTGATGAAAAACAAAAAGAGGAGAAATATACGTGACCATAAATAATGTGGGCAATTTAATGGTCTTCAGTTTTCTGAATCCATCATAAACACTTTATGGACAAAGGAAGGAAAGACTGTCTCCAAATGACCACTTATTCATTCCTAGAATAAGTAATAACCTCCACAGAATAAACAAGAAAAGCTAAGTAAATTTACTTTGATCCCTTTTTATCTTCTCAAAGAGAATACTTTTTTTCCTGTGCCACAAGTCAGTAAATTTTGAGTTTTATGAATCTTATCACAGTGATTCACATTTATGTGCCCATTTTATATTCTTAAATATGTTTGCAAAAATTTGTCATTAGCCAGGGAGGGGAGTGGAAAAGAGAGACAGAGACAAAGACAGAGTGAGAAAGAGGAGAAATCCATTTGAAAAACCTTGAAGAGTCTGTATTTAAAATTCATTTTTAACTCATAATAAGGTTAAAAATCCTTTATTGGGTTTTTAATATATATGTCTTATGAGTGTTATATTTAGTTTCTATAAATTAAGAGCTCAGAAAATACAAATCAATTCTTTAATTTTAGGCAGTTTCTATATCAAATGTCAATATTTGGTCACATTGTCATACAGTATAGTTTCTGTACTAATTTCATAGTTTATAGCCCAATCTAAACTTTAACCCACCAGCGTCAATTCAACACATACTGTTTGACCAATAATTATGTTCAAGGCACTGTTCTCTAGGCGTTATTGAGGCAGGAAGTATAAATAAAATGCATTTTAATCATGTATTACCATATACATGGACTTAGTAAATTTTAAATATAAACATACAAGGAAGTTTTTTACTAAGTATAATTTGAAGAACAATTCCTGGCAAATTGAAAGTATTGGATAAAAGTTCATTATCTGGTATAAGTATGTCTTTCAAATTCGATTTTTGAAGGTTCAAGAGACAAATATTGTGTTCTATTTTATAACGGTAAATAGTGTGGAGACTCAACCATGAACTTGGGTTGTTGTGATGATTAATTGAGATAGTGATTGACTTTATAATAGCTTAAATGTCTAAGCAATTTAATTTCCTCTTTCATTTCAGATGTTTTATATTATTATTATAGTTTATTGCAGAGCTTGGATTCAGAACCATGTCAGCCTAGATCCAAAGCCCATGGTCTATTTCCTCCATCACCTCCTTCACACATTTTTCAGGTAAGTCAAGAAAGTTTTTTTTTAAAACAGTATAATCAAAATCTTCAAGCCAATCTGTTCATATATAATTTATCCACAATTTGAACTAAAAACATAAGTGAATCGAATCAATCCATCTGGTTATTATATTTAGTTTTTATAAAATGTCATTGCTTTTACTCAAGCATTTTCAATTAATTGGAGCTACAGGGCCAGAATGACCATTAATAACAGGTTCATTAATATCAGTTGGCTCCTTCACTCTCCTCCATGAGACCTGACTTTATTAATAGCCTCTCAGTGTCATATTTGTCCTAGATTATGAAAATGGACTCACACCTCCAGCAGCTTTTGTTGAGACGTATAACACCTCTCAGAGCTCCCAAAGGCTACCCTGCAATGTTTGATCAGCTCCAGAGAGAAGAGCCCTGTCTAAAGCAGCCATTCTTCTCAGCAATGGAGGAAGCAGTTTCCTTAGAAACAGGGATTACAAAAGAGCTCTTAGAATAGCTACTCCTAAACTCAGGTTTTCTTCAGTTCCAAGCCTCAGATAGTCTTTCATGTAGAGACATAATATGAATAGCGAGCCCAGCTGGACTTATGTAATGACATGAAGAGAGATGGCAAGTCCTTTGCCAGCACAGACAAGTGTATTCAGGACTCAGCAAAGGGCTTGGCATGGAGATGCCATTTAACAAATACTTGCTAAATGCTTAAATGAACATATGATTTACCTGGATTTGAATGGTATAGTAGAGAGAATTGAAACATAAATCAAAGGATCTGGGCTTAAACTTGAGTCTGTCATTTATTTCTAGCTTGGCCTTAGGCAATTTAAATACTCCCCCTAGTTTCTGTTTCCCCATCAGTTCAATAGAAATGGTGATAGTTATCCACCTGGTCAACCATACAGGGTTGTTCACGAATATAAAATAACCTAGTAAATTTCAAACTCTTATATATAGTAGTATTATTATGTTTATTTTATCCTTATAGAAAATCTCAAAATGATTACATTTTCATAGGTATAGTACATGTCTGTAGCATTAGCATGTTGTGCTCTAATTGGTAACCTTTTTTTTTTTTTTTGTCTATACCACCAAGCTATGAACTCTTAAGGACAGGAACCATGAACCATGGGTTTTATTTCTGAATCTAACACAAAACCTGGCATATCATGTTCAACAAATCCTTGTTAATAAATTGGATAAATAACATACAAGAATGTTTTCAGATATTTTTTGCTATCCTGAAATCTTTTAGCCAGGCAGATTTCTGAGAGCATCGAAGAAGAGTTAGATTGTTATTTTACATAAATACAATTCCATCTTAATAAGAAACTTTTTTATTCACTGTTATATTGTCTCTGACCTGAGACTTAAGGGAAGTTATGTTTACAGAGAAAAGGGTACGCTGCTGCCAACTGAGATGTAAACTCCATGAAGGCAGAGACTAGGTCTGTCTTGTCTATATTCCTAGTAACAAAGAGCAATTTCTAGCAGATAGCTGAATACAGTAAATACTCAAACACCTTACTTAGTCTTCATTTCTTGAAAGTTATTGTTGAATAACTAAATGAATAACTTAGGAAATTTAGAAGATAAAATCTTGGCAAAGAAACTTAATATTCATGTAAATACCAAAGTAATGGGTTAAATAGAGATAATTTTTACATACCTTGCTGATTTCAAATCCAAAGACTTCCTCAAAATATGCTGGCTGACTAATAAGTAATAAATAAAAAGTCCAGCTTCTGCAGAAGTTTGCAACGATTATTGCATAGACTGGCATTGATGTAAAAAATTTCCTCCATGGAGTCTTGAATTTCTGAAATCCCAAAAAGAGAGCCATTATAACCATTTTAAGTATATTCTAACTTAAATAGGAATGATAGGGGCTTTGTATTTTCAGGATGTGTATGTTGGGACATGAGTAGGAAGTAGGCAAGAGGTAGTGAATCATTAATTGCAACAGCCTAGTTAACTTTAGCTGCATGAATAATCATTTGAATAGGAAAAAAGACATATCGGCCCCTTCTTTTGATCAAATTGCTTCAGTGTTAAGAATATACAAGATTCCACAGTTTTAGAAAACTAATTCCAAAAGCATAGATCTTAGTTTCTAAGTTGTTTTTTTTCTTTTTTTTGGCACTGATAAATCACGGCTCAGCTAAAACTTACTGCCAAATCAGTGACCTTGTTGGTATCCAAAATAATTTATCTAAAATACTGAAAATTCAATGTTATTAGGAGGATAAAAATAAGAAAAATTAACAGTGCGAAAATGCTAGACATTCTAAAGACAATGATACCACTACATACTGATAAACTCTTGATAGCCAGTGGATATCAGTATAAATTCTGTGACACTGACATGCAAGGTTCTATAAAACTCACATGGTAACATCTAGTTAAAGCACTTGGCCACCCAGCACACCAGGGGCACTTCATAACCACAGTCATGCATCGCATAAAACATATGCGATATAGATGTGGTGGTCTTCTAAGATTATATTGAACATCTATAATGGTGGTCTTATAAGATTGTAACGAAGCTAAAAAATTTGTTTTGCCTAGTGACACTATAGCCATCCTAATGTTGTAGTGCAACACATTACTCGCATGCATGGTGATGCTGGTGTAAACACACCTACTGCATTGCCGGTCATATAAAAGTATAGCACATACAATTACAGTCGTAGGCTATACCATCTAGGTTTGTGTAAGTGCACTCGGTGATGTTTGCACGACAAAATCACCTAACGACACATTTCTCAGAACGTATGCATTGTTAAGCAACACATCACTGTAGTTATTTGATTGTCAAAACATTCCAAATTAACAACCTAAATATCATTAGCTTTGCTTATAACACCCATTAAAAATTACATTTAGTGTTCTTAAGATCCTGTATATGCCCAAATATAAAACAAGTGACTTCCCCTAAGACTAAGTTTACACCTTAAAATGCCTCTCATATTTCCAAATACTTTCTCAATCACTTTATTTTGAATACCAAAATACTGTTTGGTGAAGAAACAAAAGCCTAAAAGAACTTTGTTTAATGCTAGCTTGGGACATTTTGGCCTGACCAAATTAGTAAAAGAGAAGGCAAAACATTTTTTAAACAGATTTTATAATTATTTTAGATATAAAACCTCATAATTGTTTGTATTAAGAATCTAATTAGGCCTTTTAAAGATCACTTTAAAAGTAATATAGTAGGAAGTTATATTGTGATCACAAATATATATGATAAGAAAGAAACAAAACAAACAAAAACAACAACCTGTCAATAATATATAATGAGCACTATATGGCTTTGGATAAAAATTTCTAGTGACTACATCACAGGTGGGTTCAAAAAATGCAGGTTTGTTTTTTTTTTTAAATTAAATATATTCTTAGAAAATGGTGCCAAGTGAATATACTTATTCACTGATTTAAAAAATGGTCAAATACAGGAATGTCTGCATTATAGTATTATGTTTGCATATGAAATAATTTTAGAATATTATTAGAAGTAAATAACTTTTCCTGCAGGGGAGATATTTCTTTGATATATACCATCTCTAAGAACTTTACTCTTCAGGTTACAAAACACTTCACCAAATGTAAGAGAAAAGTACCTAATTTTATATCTTAAAACATTGGGGGGGTCCGTGGGAGGGTTTATGGTATTCTGATAATATTCTATGTACTGAATTGGCTGTTTGCTTCACAAGGGTATTTAGTTCATAAAAATTCAGCACTCTGTTTGCTTATTATTTGGTGCATTTTTCTGTACATATGTTATATCTAATTAATTTTTTAAAGAAATAAAAGAGATTTAAAAGACACTATAGTCAGCTGCAATGCATGATCCTTAATTGGATCCAGACTTAAAACAAATAGTGACAAAAGACATATGAATATAGACTAGGTATTAGAATTTAGACTGGATATTATAAATTTGAACATAATCTAGGTATTAAATAATGTTAGAAAATTATTTATAATTAGGTATTAAATTAGGTATTTTAAATTAGGTATTAATTATTTTTAGGTATTATAATAGTACTTAGATTGTGAAGGAGAATATTATTGTTTTTCTAAAAATACATGGAAGGGGTTCGTGGATAAAGTTCTGATATTTCATTTATTTTCAAATCATTCAGCAAAGAAAAGTGAAATAAGTAAGGCAAGGAGTTAACAACTGTTGCATCTACGCCATGGATATATGGATGATGTTGTTACTGTTCTTGTATATTAAATTTGTTCACAATAAAAAGTTCAAAATAACTAAAGCACAAATTCTATTCCCGCCTTATCTTATTTTTAAAATTTAACTTTGAAGCTACAGAAATGTGTAAAATATTAGTAAGAAATAAATTATTGTGTTTAGAAAACCAGTAAGGTCTAAAAAATGGAGAGTTTGAGATTATCTCTGCTGTTTTATTAATCTACTGGCTGTTCTTTTGGTTTTTTTTTTTTAGAAATTGGTTTTCATTTAGACTAAATTTCTGATTGTATTTTAAAAACTTATGCTTGATCTAGACATATAATTTTTCAAAAACTCGTTAATAAAAGAAGCATATTTAACCATGTAGATACAGGCTGATAAGATTATTTTTGGCTAGAAACTGAAGCTAAATTCTGAACTCACCAGCCTATAGTTAGCTTTCGGTCATGGCAACTGCAGCTGGTGGGCACCGGAGCACACTGCCAATTCCTCCCCCCACCCTCACATCACCACTTGTTTTCTGAATAGCCACCATTAGAAAGAAATTATCAATCCATTACAAAACAGAAAGAGAAAAGTTCTAATGTCAGTCTATTCAGCTCATGGAACAACTATAATGTAAAGATGATTATTTTTAAGTACTGAAATTTAACTTCTGAATAATATCCAATATGGGATTTTTCTTATTCATTAAAGGCCAAGATACCTCAGCAACAATGGATGACAGACCTATTTACCCGGAATGAGATGTCAAAGACAGCCCTTCTCTAATAAATGAAGCAGAGAAGCAGAGCTGGAATAAAATACAATTAGAATGGGGTAAGGGAGCCTTTAAAAGAACAAGGAGAAACATAATGTGTAAGGGGCATTGGTTCCGCAGCCGGTACATGTTACCTTTCAACTCTTACAATAATAAAATTGAATTATGCATTAAGTGCAGAATTACTTAATCTGTCTAAATGCATTACTTGTGCTTACCAGTTTTTTCTTTTTTATAGTATCATATGGCTATCTATTGATTACTATTTATGATATATTAATGTCTCATGAACTAAAGTATTTGCATTATTGACATAGAACTGCCTTTCACTCTTCATAGGTAGATCCCATCTAAGAAGCCAAATCATAATTATAAAAAAAGCTTTACAACATTATCTTATAATACTTGATCTTCATAATAATAATTCTGAAAATCGATAACATTGTATCCATAAAATGATTATATTAAGAATATTTTCATGCCAACTATTATTGGCATTCTAATGCTTTATATTTACCAAACCATATGTAATATAAATATACATTCTAATGCTTTATATTTACTAAACCATATATAATACAAATATACATTCTAATGCTTTATATTTATTAAACCATATATAATATAAATACATATGTATAAAACCTACATTTAGATTATTCAATAAACAAAATATAGCCTTTTCAATGACTGTGTTAGGTGATTTGGCATTTCCTACAATCTAAAATTAAAAACAATTTGTTAAATTTGTTTAAATTATGGACTATATAGAACTGTGTTTCAAAAATTTGTTTAGGTTTACAGTAATAGCTATAATCCAGGGCAAAATCTGAAGATACTTAACAAAGATAAAGAAAAAAGAAATTATAGATGGAGGAAGTAGCAATCACTCCTAAGTAAGTTAGGGAATATGGATGAAGTAAAGAAAATCATGATTCATACCAAACTAGTTTTGTTGAATTGAATAGTGACTCATAAAATAGTTTGGTTGGTTGAAAGGAGATGAGATGGAGAATTAGAATAGAAATATACACCATAATAAAGTTCTTACTTCCATTGCACCTAAAAGATTTGCACTCTCTCCAATGCTTTCTTCTATGTACCTACGTTCTTCATCTGTAATAGTAGGATGCTTTGCAGGACTCTCGTAAGACACCAAAAGCCAAAACATGTACCAGATCATTCCAAAGCTTCCTGCAAGCCAGAGTTCAAAAGGAGAAAGTCAAAGAAAACCATTATAAATACTGCCATTTAACAGTCATTTGCTAGAATAGACTACAATAATTTTGTGACAAAAATATTCTATTAAACGTGAATTCGAGTTTATGTGTCTCCAACTGACTTTACTCATCTCTTCTTGTCTTTTGCCACCAGATGACAAGATTCTGGAAGGCTGGTCCTGTAGTTTTATCTCTTTGTCTCTATTAAATAATATTGATACATGGGAAACTCACAATAAATAATTACTGAATGGTGTGGTTCAGAACATGTTCATACATCTAATAAATATTTACTGAGCAGTTACTTTTGCAGGCACTCTGCTAAATGAGAGAAATGTGATGAACAAAAGAAAATTCCAGTCCTTAAAGAACTTTTCTAGGAGTGAGTCCTTTTACCTTATTGCCTGTCTTAATTATATTAGAGTAGTCACTATTTTCAGAGAAAAGAAATGCTTGTTTCCCTCTACTGTTAGCACTTCCAGATCTAGTAAACAGAATATTAAATAAAATCTAGAAGATTATTTTACCTTGAGTAACTACTGTACGTTTAAAAAATGGGCTTCTGTAGTTAATGTAGTAACATTTTTCTCTTTACATGACTGTATACCATATTTTCAGTACATGCTATTACCTATTGGTCACTCTTTGGGCAGATGAAAGTTATAAATTCCAGTACAATAAACTGTTTGCAAATTTTTTCATCACCTTCTTTATTTAGCACTCTCGCCATTAAAGTATGTCCTTATTGTGCAATATAAATGTGGAAGCATTAATGATAGAAAGAATCTTAAGTGATTTATTTTAGGTTCCCAGCAGCTAGCAATTTCATTTTTGTCTTGTACTGTTCTTTTTCCAGTGGGTACCAATCCAAATGCCGCTGATCGCCATAATTCTTGTTTTGTTTTGTTTTTTTCCTCATTCATTCTCTAAGAAGAGTTCCTTAAAACCATAGTTTCTGATATTCCATGCTTCTTTTAATTACTGAACATGATAGCAAATACAATCTGGGGTCATATAGTATGTGAAAATTCAGTATAGTGTAGTGAATATGGAATATGATCTCTCAGATTCAAATCCTGGCTGCATCACTCATTAGCTACATCATCTGATGAGAAACTGAATTCTATAAACCTCCACTACAAAATGAGATGATAATTTTTATGAGATTATGCCAAAGAGAAGTTAAAGGAAATGATGTATAAAGCCCCTAGCACAATAGATGGCACAAAATAAGCACTCAATAAATGAGAGCTCTTGTAATTTAGAAATAATTATCATTACCGCTAACTGAATGCATCTAAAGTGGCACTCAGCTAATTGCTTTATGTGCATTATCTTTTTAAATCTAAGGCACTATACGGGTCTTACCTTACTAAATTTTAAATTATTAAAATTTGATTGAATGTGTGGCTCAAAGACCCAATTTTTGTTATACACAGCACGTAAGTACTATGATATGATATTTTCAGATTATCCAATATTAAAACTTTGTACCATTCAATGATAAGTATTAAATAAGTTATAACTTGCAATAATAAGGCTAGTTTTTGTGAATGCTTTGTGGAATTAGCATCCTTCCTTTAAATCTACATCACGTCTTCATTTAAGTAATTGATGAAGGGACAAATCAAGGGATTTAAAGGATGGCCATCCCAACTTTATTATACATCCTATAAATAAATACTTTAAACTTCTTTGAACTATGAACTCTTGAAAATCTAATGAAAGATATGGATTAAAATGTGATAAAAAGATCTATCTGGAAAAAAAATGTACAAATGCATGTATGGCTTATAATTTAGGCATTCATAAATCCAAAACCCATTCACAGCTTTTGACCGAGGGTAAGAGCCTCTCCTATAAAGTATATTTAGTAACATTCTCCAAACATAAGGATTTGCTCTGATGAAAACATTTCAAAATGGAAATGGATCATGGCAAATTTGGAAGCAGCTGAATACTGTTCTGTTCAACTTCATGAATCTTTCAGATTCTCGTGCCCATGTTCAAAAATGGTATTAATCAGTGACAATACCAGTTAGAACCCAGCTCTCTTATATTTCTCCTTTCCTCATTAAAACCGTCTCTTAGAGGGAGATTCTAGGGGTACTTTGAAGTGGTATGCTTTCAGCTTATGGTTAGAAAGTAAACAGAAAGGAAGATTGAACTTAGGGTTACTTGTTATTTTTTATTGCCATTTGAGGCTTCATCTCCTTTAATTCTGGAAAAATAAAGACTAAAATATGTTGCTGCTGTAGGTGACTGATAATATTTTATCACAAAACTGAATTGTTTCACTAGCATTAAAAGCACCATCCAGCTTTCTACCCCTGTTCAGTCATGAGGAAGCACAATCAGGGAAATGAACTAGACAGTAGCAAAGAAGAGGAGTGGGCACAGCCTAGCTCTTTCTCTTAATCAGCTTTGAATTGAGAGCTAATTTCGTTTGTTTTTAAATTCATAATAATCAAGGACAATATTTGTCATATATTACAAAGTTTCCATCAGCAATGTGGTTGTTTTTTTAAATAAGTAACAATGTAAGGAAAATAATAGAGAGAGAACATTTTCCTCAAGCTTCTCAGAATAAAAGGAAAGGATTCTTTACGGAAAAAAAATAAGTGAGTAAACAGAAGTATGTTTAGTGATCCCTTTGTTTTAGCTTATGCACATTTCTTTTAACTCTGTTGTATAGAAATGTAACATACCATAGACATAGAATACTGAAGACCAGCCAGTATACTGTACAAGAATGCCAGCTAAAGGCATTGCAATCACAGCTCCAGCATAGGAACCTAAAGTAGAAGGGAGAATGGGAAAAAGCTAAGTGAATTCAATAAAAAATTTTGACTTTATCTCATGTTCCTTGGTTGGTTCACACAAATACACAGTGGCACACGGGTGCATGTGCACTCACACCCATACACTTCCGAACACACACAAATATCTATACCTACATATTTAGCCAGTAGAGCAGAGGATTGCACAAGTGGATATAACTTACCCAGGACACAACAGACATTTAAAAATAATAAGACTATAATAAAAAATAAAAGACTAGAATAGAAACCATTCATTAATGTCTTTGGAAACCTAGATGAAATGAATGAACTAGAAAAATATAAAATACAAGAAGAACTAGAAGATTTAAGGAGTCCAATAAGAATTAAGGAAATTGAAACGGTGGTCAAAAACTTTTCCTCGCTATCAGGTTGCAGGATACCTGGATGCCCCACGCCTGAGGCCGACGCTGCCAGGGCCGCGGGGTAGGACTCGTCTCTCTTTCAATAAAGTTGTTGGTCTAACTCAAAACGAACAAACAACAAAAAAAACTTTTCCTCACATACACACACATCTAGATGGTTTTACAGCTTTATTAATTTTCAAGTCTTATTCAAGTTGTTCCTCAACTTTTACCCACCAGCACACAGTACTCACCACAAAAGGAGGTGGTCGCCAACCTACTCCTCTCTAGTGGAGGGGCCCATTTGCTCCATATCCCATGGCATGCTGGGTAGGTGACGCCCTGTGATGGGAGAGGACATATATCACTGTTTACGATCCAGGGTCGTTGGGAAATAAGCACATTCCCTTTGATGCTATTTCCTTTGAATGTGCACAGAGGAAGCTGCTTCTTGTGGGCCTTTACTGATTCCCTGAAACTCTATTTTTGAAACTTTCAGCCCAAACCAGGTAAAATATGACCCCTTTTCAGTGACCTGTTCGAATTCTTCCCACCCTTCAAGTCTTCCTCTGATCTCGGTTTTCTTCTAATTAAGGCAAAATAAAAGATCTTCTATTAGTTCATTTGCAATTTGGAACAGTTTGAGATTTTGGAAGGTGTTTTTGTGAGGCATTAAGCTCAGTGATACCCAAATGTAAAGAATTCATAAAAAGGAAGGTAAAGCTCACACTCCCTAAAAGCAGTGTCTAGAACTTAAGACCTTTAAAATACAGTCAGCCCTCTGTAACTCCATGTTCTTCATCCACAGATTCAACCTGCCTCCAACCTCAGGTCTAAGTAATCTGGAGACAATTTAAAGTACACAGGACGATGTGTGTAGATTACATGCAGCAATGCTATTTTTTATAAGGGACTTGAGCACCCTCGGATTTGAGTATCCTCAGAGAGGGGGAATCCTGGAATGAACACCCTTCAGATACTGAAGAACAACTGTCAGTTTGATCCTATAGATTTTTCCTTCTTTTTGGAGATAGGAGGTGGTTTTCAGTGCCTTAATATTTTATCTGTTTTATCTGTTCCCGCCATACTCTATGGAAAAAGAAAAGGCAACAGGCAGTCCCAAGTTTTTAAATGATACTCTTCCAAAAGCAGTAGGTTGATAGAGCAAATCGTTAGAGTTAAGTGCCCAAAGAATATATTCAATAAAATATTTTAGTGAAAAATCAAATCATGATTCAAAGCCAACAGGGACTTTGTATAAAACTGTCATAAGGTATTAATTCAGGGTTATCGCCAGCAAAGGGCAGACTCAAACATTTTTATCGCAATCCATTAACAAAATTGCTTTTTCTTTTTTTTAAGTCATTCACTAAACATTTCTTTAATACTACTCAATTCTAAAGAAGGGGAAGTAATCGGTAATAGTTGTAATTTAGCATCATTTAAAGACACAATATCTAATTGCCTAACTTTTCCAATTTTTTTAACATGATGTAGACATAACCTAATAAGACACATTTATTTGTAAATCAAGACAAAGATCGCCTAATAATTCTTAATAACATGCCAACCTTAAGATGATGTCATCTTACATTTCCATACCTCAACAAGTCCCTGCAATATCCTAACAAAGATGACACACCCATAATGCACTCTGGCTGCTGATGGGATTAGCATATTGAGGGTAGAGGTAAGAAGTATGGCAGCTCCAAAAACCCTGAAAAAGAAAAGGAGTTAATAGAGCTAAATTCTCAGGTCAAGTTAATTACAAGCAATTTTAAAGTAGATTGTTTTTTTCTGAGAGAATAAAATATGTCCTGGACTTCATTGCTAGCCATTGCAAATAGATATTTGAACTATCTTGAAATACTAGATTACTTGAAGCACAAGAAATAAAAGAGGGATCCAATAAATCTGGTTATACTTACTTGTATTTATTTTCTTCATAGATATAATTACAAATAGTAAATATGCAATGAATCATTGTATATTTTTTGATCTCTGTCTCAGCTTACAATATAAGCTGCTTAAGGGCAAGAGCTGGTTTTTAGATACACTGATAGCACAGTGCCTAACACATAGTAGAAACTCATAGAAGAGTTGGTGAAAAAATAATAAATGGTTGAATGGAGTTGTGCCTCACATTATACAATTATTTGCAACTTCCCTGGAATCTGTATATCTATAAAAATTTTATGAATGAAATCATATTTTAAATCTCATGATCAGATCCCACAACACATGTTTTTATAATCAAAACGACTATTACTTAATATATCTGTCTCAGGTCTTTTTTTATTTTTATTTTTTTTTTGCATGTGTGTGGGTAGGGAGATTGTGTTTAAGGCACAACTCTTAGATGTATACATTTACACAACAAGTCAAGAAAGAATTGCTAGAAATGTGGTGCTAACATTTTTATACATCTGCAAGAAAAAATTCCATTTCATCCTTAAAAATATATAATATTCATACTAAGCAAGAAAAACAACCCCATAACTGAGTAACTTTAGAAATATTCTCTTACGCAAAAGTTTTGAGACACACTATCTCTAATGAGCTTAGCTGTGTGTTCTGTGCAAGTTTTCTCAAGTTGTACATTGTGCCTTTGATTCAGTAAAAATTGGTTGTCTCATAGAAGCTCTAAGTCTTCCACGGGATACATTTAAATGTAACTGTGAAAGACTTGAGTTTCTGAAAGGAATCTTGAGCATTATTATTCCGCTACTGAAATTTGAAAAATGACTTTAGAAAGTGGATCATCTCTTTTTCTATGAATCATAGACTGGGTCAAATACTTTTGTTTACTTGATGCAGCCTTCCATCTGCCTGTCCTTAGTGGCTTCTCTCTCCTGAGGTAGTCACTCAGACGGTGAATGTTCTGTTCCATTTTTTTCTCTGTGCTCTTTCCTGAACAGGTATCTTTGGGTTTGTGTCAAAAAATAATTTATTTCTTAAATGTCTGGCACAAAATAGAAACTTTCCAATTCTAGAAATAATGACTTCCATGAAGATGCCACATACCTAGTGGCATTAAATGTCTGCCAAATATGGATTTATTTTTCAGAAAATTAATGCAAAAATTCCATAATGTGTTTTTGTAAAAATAAGAATCCAAAATTGTTATAAAAATTGATTTAAAACATATTTTAATTCTTGATTATTACTTTTAAGTTGAAAGAATTTTCACCTTTCTTAAGATGGCAAACCAAATGTCTTTGCATGCAAACCCCAGAACACCTTGGAAGTTTCCTTTAAGGCTGACAGGAAATAGGAGGGAGTATATGGGGCATGTTTCCTGGACCTAGTGGTAAATGGTTCGTGTTCCCAAAGGCCAGTGAGGTGAATATATCTTTCCACTGCTCTGGGAGTTCGAATGTGGTATCTGTGCAACAGAGAAGGATAAAGGCGGAAAGGGTGAATGACACAGGACTTTTGGTTACATGAGTAGGCTGCCTGGGTACTGGCAATCTTGTGATGACTGTATCTGTATATTCATCCCAATTTGCTTATTATCATCAATAATAATGAGACTGACTGCATAAGGCTTTAAAGATAAAGAGAACCAGAACGACATAAGGCTATAGGATTTTTTAAAGTGTTTATATTAGTTAGCATTCACGCATTCAGCCTTTTGGAAGAATTCTTTCAAACTGTCATCCCTGAACCAGCTGCATTGGAATTGCCCGGAGTTCTTGTTAAAATGCAGATTTCTCACTCTAGACTTTTTGAATCAGAATGTGCTGTGAGTGAAGCCTGGAAATCTGTAGTCCAGGTGAATTTTGCATACTAAGCTATGCAAAAAAACACGGTAAATGTTTTATCAGGGTTTCTCTAACATGTGTGTCTTCTTTTCCAATAATATTTTGAAGGTATGATGCATAAAGTTCATTTTCTATGAATATAACTTTCAATCATTACTTTATCCCTCTTTGAAGGGTTTTAAAATACTGCTATCTCTAGAAACGCTCAAGAGAGATGAATTTTACCCATTTCCTAGCTTGAGTTTTCTCAGCCTCCACACTATTGATATTTTGAGTTATATAATTCTTTCTTGTTGAGATGCTGTCCTGTGCATTGTATGATGTTTAACAATACCCTGGCCTGCACTAGATACCAGTAGCATACACCCCAAAACTGTGACAACCAAAAATGTCTCCAGCAATTCCAAAATGTCTCCTAGGGAACAGAATCACCCACCAGTAGAGCTAAATCAATTATGGACTATTGTTGAGTGCTTAATATAGTTGGCTCTAAATTTAATGAATACTCAACTTGCTACACACTATGCTAACACTTCATATGCCATAAAAATCCACAACCACCTAATAACCTAGTGATATTGGTGTTACTAATATACCCATTTTATACATAAAGAAATACTATGCCTGAGAAAAGTGAAATCACTTGCACAAGTTGTTCACCAGTTCTAAGTAGAGCCCTGTTTCACATCTAGTCTGATTCTAAAGCCAGTGGACTTTACCACTAGGATTTATATCTGATGATGCACATACTCTGTACTTAGTAATGCATTTCAGGATTCTAATTGTAAATTTAAATAATAATTTTCACAAAGCTACTTGAAATCAACCTACTATTTCTGAAATAAAACGTTAATAGATCACTTTCAATGTTTACTTTCTACTCTTGCCCTGAATAGTGTTTGAAATTATCTAATCTTACAACATTTCTAAATGCTTCCAACTTTAAAATTCCTTAATTCCTTTAACAATTCTTTTTTTATTATTATGAGTGGCCATCGCATCATAAAAATGCGTTGACTTTTTTCTAACTGTTTTAAGAGTAAAATCCATTAAAGTTTTCAAAACCTCATCTTCTCTTTAAATTTGGTGTAACTGGTATACAAATCAATATCCAAATAATTGAAATTCTGATTATTAAAATTCTTGCTCAATATGAGAAGGCTTTGCACCTTTTCTTTCTGTACTATACACAGCCCAATTGAAGCAGCCATTTCATTCAGCATTCATTTATGCATTCACACTCCACACTGTTGTGAGACGATATTCAGAGCAGGGTATTGTGTTGAGGAGGAGAGGGGAGCTAAAATTCACAGAACACTCGCTATACTTTTTACACCTACAGTAACTTAATCCACATGACAACTTTCTGAGTTACACTCCCTTCTCATTTTACAAATATGAAAATGCAGACAGAAAGTTCCATAAGAAAAAATCAAGCGGTGGAGCTAAAATTTGAATCCAGGGCTCTCTGACATGAAAATCTGCTCTTTTATCTAAATGATGCTACTTGGCACTCAGAAAAAAGACAAGAATGGCCCTTCGTGTAGTAGGAGAAAGAAAGAAGTAGCCAAGAGACAACTTATGTCAACGCTGTAACAGGACTACAAATGGAAAGCAAAAGAGAAAAAAATCCATTCCAACTGGGGTGGACCAGGAGGCAAGCTCTTCCTTCATAGGAAAACTTTCAAGTTGGGCATTGGAAAATGAATTAACAAAAGAAGGAAGAATTTCCAAAATGAGGAAATGGTCAGCAAAAGTCCAAAAATTGGAAGAGATTAAGTTATAGATCAGAATCTAGGGCTGTATTGAAAATGGCTGGACAGAGTGGTACAGGTGATAGGAATAAGAATGTCAAGAGTGAGATGATGAACAAGAATTGTGTGTGTGTGGTTGTGGGGGCGTGTTGAGGAAATGTAGTTAGGATAAGAGAGAAAGAGCAAAGTCCTTAAGTCCATGACATCTTGGAAATAAAGGAGTTTAGGGTCATAGAGGATAACAGAAGATTAAGCCACTAAGGTGAAGTAAATATGAAACTTACAAGAATTAAAAGGAGAGGGATCTAAAAGGCCAGGGAGACAGAAGGTGATCAGGATTCATTTAAGTTCATGTAAGATAGTGGCGTGAGAGGAACGAGGGGCCAAATTCACTAATGGTAGCAGAGAAAAATAAGTGATGTAATATGGTGCAGAAATTTTTGTAAGACTCTAACTTCGTCACTTAATGAAGATGTGACAGGAAGTTACTAACTTTATAGGCTTCTGATTAGTTGTCTGTAAAAAGGGCCGTGCATGGTCAGAAGCATGGTTTCTAGGGCTAGACTCCCTGGGTTCAAAGCTCATTTCTGTCACTTATTACTGAGGTTATCTTGAGCAGTTTATTTTACTATTTATGCTTCATTTCTCATATACAAATGGGGATATTAACAGAACCTATGAGTTATTACAAGTAAGCACCCAGAAGAATGTCTGGCATATCCTAAGTATCTAAGGGGTGTTAGGACTTATATGAGGATGATATTAATATGTAATGTTTCATAGAACTGCTGTGAAGCTAAATGAAATAATGCACCTAAATGGCTTAGTCTGGTGTCTGGTACATAAAAATAAACACATAAATGTGAGTCAGTCAAGAAGAAATAATAATAGCTTATGGTTATTGAATTGTTAGTGTGCGTCAATCACTGTTGTAGATTCTTGTTTTAAATGAACAGCAATATTAGAAAGCTATTACTGCTATCCTTACATCAAAGACAGAATAACCAAGTCCTAATGAGTTTAAATATCTTGCTAAGGTCACACAGATACAAAGAGGATTCCTATGGTTTATATTTACTCAGTCTGGTTGTACATCCTGATGCTCAAACACCAAGCTCTACTGTATGTTAATAGCAGAAGGACACTAACGGTGACAGCACCAGCAGACGAAATGAAAACTTTGAAAGACAAAAACATTA